CAAAAGAGTGACTCACACTGAAAATCCAAGAGTAGGTGGCACAATTTGTTCACATGACCATGGTAATTAATGATTTTCAGTCTGCAATATCATTTAGCTAGTCATAATTCAAATATGAAATTAGTAATGATTAATTTCTTTTAAACAAAAGTGTTATCAAGAGGAGGTAAATGGTTGACTACAGTTGCAGCATCACCTCTGCCACCTCTTAAGTGTGCCTTAATGGCTTCAGTATCTTTACTACCTTAATGGAATGCTAACTGAAGTTAGTCTTATCACGTCTCTCAATGCCTTTGTTCCCCTCTTTATACCGTAACTACCAACCATTTAAACTCATGCAATCCTCAGAGCTTCCATCTGAGGGCCTTTCCTAACACGAGAAAGATAAACATTGAATTTCAGAGAATTACTTTCAGATTTTGCAAGAATTCTTTAGTGATTATAAGCCATCTTGGCTTTGTATCTTCACTATATCTCTGCTTCTTTTCTGCTATCTCACTGAATCCTCTGCCACCTCCAAAGTATGAAGGCAACGTGTTTACTGCAGACTCAATTCTCTGTCACAGGTACGTTATTTAAAAAAAATTAATATCATTGAGGAACAAGCCTTTTACAGAGAACTGCAAAGGCACATATCAGCCTGGCATGTTAAATTCATAAAATAATTAAAAGTAGTTAATATAAGTGAATTTTTTAGCAAAAACAACCCTCCCCCCCCAATTAATAAGCAGCAACCCAAAATATAGTTACTACTATCCATCTACAGTATCCCTGTAATAATGTCTGATTCTGATCTCGGTTACACTTTAGATATTAATTCAACCTGTTCTGTCTCTTCAAAACAAGCAGTATTGTCCAGAAACGTATTTTGTTTGGTTGCTTTTTTAAAATTATGAAAATGTTGAATGCCATATATGGAAGTTAATCAATGTTGGGCTTCTAATAACTATTTTGTGCCCTTCAAAATTTTCTTTTTAATTGTTTATGTATGACAGTTGAGGATTTGGGAATATATTCAAAAATTCTATATTTGTACTCCAAAAATGCAGAATGGGACAGAAAAATTTAATGAAGATTCCAAATACTTTGATTAAAATTTCTACATTCTAATGTAAAGTTTGACTTTAGTTTGAAGTTTGACTATGATTTATCATGTAAAAAAACTGGCCGACTAAAGTCATGATTTCAAAAGGCCATGCCAGTATGCAGTAACCACATTAGGATTACACCTTTGTTCTGTAAAAATACGTAAAAATGTGACCTCTGATTAAGTAATCAATATTGAATAATTGATGAAAAATTTGTCAACATTTACTATATTACAAAATAATAAACACTAGTTTAAGTTTTCAGATATAAACCTGCTTTGAAATATGTCAAATAACTGTAACAACTTAATACAGATGGAAACAACTGAATGAATATTCTGAATATTGGATATTGTTAGATATATCTTACAGATGGAGTTATTTTGAAACCTGGATTCAAATATTTCTAAGGATTAAACAACATGCTGTAATGAAGTGTAGTAATATTTTTTAGTGATCAATAAAGGATTTCTTCTGGTAGGAACAATGTTTTCACACTCAGTCATAAATATGATTTCCCATTAGAGAGCTTTTTACTACTTTGTAAATAATTGTTCTTTGCTACCAAAAATTTAAAATTACCTATAGTAGGTGTAGCTAAGAGAAATCATTAATCATTGTGCCTATGATACTAATATTTCATATGCATATGTTAATTACATCCTGTTCTTGATATCCACCACGAAATACCAAATAGTTTAGCATATTAGCCTGGATAATCTTTGCATATGTTCATAAAAGAATGAAGCCAATGATTTGGTTCACTTCCCACACTTATTAAAGAGGCTCAAGGTCATTTTTAAAAATTATTTCAACTAAATGTAAGTCATACCTAATGCACATAGGACTAGGTCATAAAAAATATTAGGGAATAAAGGTAGAACATAAAAAACTATTCAGCTTTTATCTAACTCTAAAATCATCAGGTTTGTCTTTTAGGGTCTATAGACACTCATATATTCTAGTTTTGCACATTTCAGGAAAGCAAGTTTTGATGGACTGAGCCATTCACCAGCCAGTTTATAATGAAGCCTGGCCAGGCACAGAACATCAGTGTTCCTCAACAAAGATTTCGTATGGGGCTTGATGTACTAACCATTTTCAGAGAACACTTAAAGTCATCCCTAATGGTTGTCCTCCCAAACTAATAGAGTCACGACCTTCATTTTATTCTTGATAGTCTGAATGAAGGATGTATATTTGACTATATTTTATCTAAAAGACTAGACTTCTGAACTAGTAGGACCTTTAACTCCTTTCTCTATGTGGGTCAAACTCATCTCTCAGGAGTATGTTAAGTAACACCATATTATTCAGAAGGTGTATAGAGATGGTACTCTATCCTCCTTTATTGAGATTCTACAACTCAGTGAAAATATCCACATTATTGCAACAAGACTTTTTACTTGATAGAGTCTGACTATGGACCCTTATATCAGTTTCACCCTCAGAGTATCTGTGTTACTTATCTAATATTTTTCTTCGTGGAAATTATCAAGTTTTCTTCTCTTAGATCAAATTCTATTCTCATAGACTAGGAAAAGGTTTTATATGTGTTTTGATTTATACTCTTTACAAGACCAATTGTATATGTTGTAAAGCATGTCCCTTGAGCTGAGTGAGTCACCTGGCTTTCCCTTCCACTCCTCTGACCTACTTAGCTCCAACTATGAGCAAAATCAGAATACTCATTTGTAATATTTCTCTTTTAAATATTCTCAGATGCCTCACTTTTCTGATAAATCTGTAAGTTTAAATATGGCTCAAAAGAATTTAAAAAAAGAACCTAGATTCTAAACTGATATTAAAAATGTAAAGATGTAGAGAGTATGATAAGTAATTTAAGAAAAAAAATTATTTTTGCTCCATACCTAAAACATCAGATCAAAATGTTACAGGTATAAAGGCCCCATTTTTTTTAATAAATAAATAAATACATAAAGCCCCCATATATGCTGAGGTGATATTTTTTAATATGTTTCTTTATAACACTATTAGTTTCAATGGAGTTTAAAAAATACAATGGGCAGAATGGAGGAAGCTGTTTTCTACTAGGCAAATTTTATTGTGTAAGTGAGATCTGTGGTCAGGAGCAAAATTAAGGTCTCAAACTGTTTCTGCCAGCTCCATGTAACTGAAAGCTAATCAAGTGATATCATCTTTCTCACAGGTCTATAAAAACTCTGTTTTTCTTGAGATAGCATTGATTACATGGTCAAAATATACTGTAATATATCACATCAACATAACTACAAACCTCTATCAACTTTTAACTGGAAGAAAAAGCAATATAAGAAAAGCAAGTGAAAATTACAAAGCTAATGCCCAGGGTTTGGTGTTTTTTTGGGATTTGTTTGTCTGTTGGGGTTTTTTGGGGGTGTTGTTTATTTTTTTTGAGGGCCTATTCTGTGACATCATATCTTAAAGCAGTATGGGGTTTGCCATCTTTGAAATAAGGCCTTTATCATCCAGGAAAGAAAATGGTCCTGTTAGAACCGGTGACAGACATATCCACTACTTCTTTTATGACAAGATTTTTTTTTCTCTTTTAATTGCAATGGCAGTCCTTCCAAGCAAAATATTTTCCTTTAGTGAATGTTAAAATAGATAACACTGGAAGATTGCTAAGTAGATTATAAGTGACAATAAGAGATACAATTATTGCATTGATAAAGAAATTCTTCATCTTTCATTACCTACGAAAAAGAACTTCCAGAAAAAGGGAAGCTTTCCCCTCTTATACACAACCACCTTCCTCACCAACTCTTCTCTAGGAAACAATTTCACATCTCATTTTAAATTGAGGAAAAAACTTTTGACTTTCACTGTACACAGTCCACACTTCCAAACATTTACTAGGGCCAGTTTTCCAATTTGATGCTACTGAATTTTGGAATTCAGTACTATGGTGGTTTTGGTGGACAAGGAAAATATTAAACTTCTTCAAATGTTTATAATAATGGTTATTCTTTAGATTGGAGAATTTATATTTTTTTCTGCTTTGCTGGTACTCCACCATATAATTTGCGATAGAAATTTAAAATACACAGTGCACTCTATTTAAAATATATACTTATTCAAATTGGAAATGGATTCAATATGGGGTTTTGTCTTCAAATTATGAAAAGAAATTGAAAATAACATGATAATTGAATTTTATTCTAACTTATTGAGCAAAAGTTAATTTTGTAATTTGGCATTTTTCTGATATTAAAATCTGCATACATGGGAGAGGTTTTGTGCTTAATCTTACAGAATATGTGACTTCACAAAGTGAAAAGTCTAAAGTGGTTATCAATTTAATCTTTTCTTAGAGTTTAAATCTGAAAATACTGATCCTTTAGACGGGTCATCTAACTGAAGTCAGGAGATTTCTGGAATGAGTGGAGTTCTTCATATCAATAAAAGTTTGAATAATTGGATCTTTCATGTATTTCAAGGTTTAATTTTTCTACAGCTCATACATTGAACAACTTAATGATGTAATGTTGTATATACAAAATATTTCATCTACGTGGTTTCAAAACTAGTAATAACAAAAAAGAAACCAACATATATTATGACATCCAAAGTATATTTAATGTTGTATTTAAATACATATATATGGTATATATCTCTATACTCTGCTGTTATTATTTCAAGAATATCTGTTGGCACAGAGAATGACATTACTACTAACCTTCTATTCCCAATAATAACACATAGCACTACTTATCCAATATTAATAGAAACTTGAATCAATAGTTTTCCTATTATTACATATATATTTTATTACATATATTGTTGAAAAGGGTTTTTTCCTGAAAGAGAATATTATTAAAATCTTCTTCCAATTTTTCACCTGTTTTTTCCATATGACTAAACAAACAGTAACAACAACAGCAACTAAAATAAATTAAAAACTGTTCTTACCATGACAACTGGGCAGGGCTCTGTTCCATCCAGGTCTTCCATCATCTCCCATGATACATGTTAGCGTAGAATATCCCTGAAGAACATAACCTGCATCGCAGTAATATGTGACAGTGGAACCCAGTTTATAATCCATTCCAAGTCTTGTTCCATTCATTATATTTCCAGGATCAAAGCAAGACTCACGAAGCTTTGCTATAGAGGAAACAAATGTAAATATAATTCTGAATATAATCTAAAATGTTACAAATATTTTCTGGAGTTCTCTCAAGGTCTTCTTTGAGCACCCTGTAGACCCTGTTGATTTTTTTAAGAAGCCTTTCTTTCTATATCAAATGTTCTCTCTCCTTCTTTTTAAAACCTTTACAAATTACTATGTAATGACTAAAACTAAGTCTTTATTTTTTCCAGATAATTTCTATAGTGGTCCATTACAGAACTATGTTTTTATCATAAAATTCATTGTGACCAATGATGTAGGTATGTAGTTAGATGAAGGTAGATCCATGGACATTCTTCCAGTAGATAAGACACATCCTAGTTTTAAAATCTGTGGTGGGAAAACTTGTAAATGGAGGAAATTAATATGAGTAGTTGGTTATAAAATAGGAAGCATGCAAACAAGAATTTATTCAACATTAATAAACTCTAAATGAATACCTATTTACATATGATATAATGGTATATTTTCATATAGTTCTTTTCCATCACTTGAGTACAAAGTACAAAAATACTCCTTAAATTTTTCTAACTTTTTAATTTTTTTATAGCTATTTCTTTCAAAATATTGAAATAAATTCAAACATATGCACATACTTTTATATTTTTTTCCCTCTTATTTCTATAACATGAATGTGCAATAAAAAATTGTACAAAAATAAGCACTTGGCACTTCTAATTAACAACATTGTTATGCAGAAGGTGAGAAAAGTTAAACATTTTTGAAAAAATGCAATTTCCATTAAGGAAAAAAACCAGTAAATATATTAGACAGAAGTTATAATGAAGCAGATGATTTTGTGCTGTGCAGGATAGAGTCTGGAGTAATATATTTTATCAAGCAGAAGACAGATATTTCAGATTTTCTTTAATATTTAAGGGTGTTGTGGAGAAGATCAATGGGGAACACTTCTTCATTTTCTATAAGATCAATACCAACTTTCTAATACATCAAAAGAAGTGTTTATTTACCAGGCATATTTGCACCGCGTAACTTTCTGCTAAAGGTAAGTATCATTAACAAATGATTATATGAGCCTTGAAATTCATGAAAGGCTTTTTAAGAGAGGTATTAGATATTCACATTGATTCATTTAGCTAGTTGTAGTGTGGTGTCTAAAACTTTTTTTACGTTCATTCAAAACTTTGGATGGCCAATGAAAAGTTAAAAGAGGCAATCTACTAGAAATTCTGTAAAGATATCACACAGACATTAATAATTATTATGTAAGCCAACCACAGCTTCACTTTTAGGTCTTAGGGCAAATTGAAAATTCTTTCAAGTCCAAATTATCAAATTTAGGAAAAAAAAAAAAAGAAAGAAAAGAAAGGAAAAAAAAAGATAATTTAATTTAGGATTATAACTAGTATTTTTACAATATCAATAAAATATTATTTTTCCTTCTTGTTGAACTAATATTGATATATCTGTATTGGTTCACAACTGATATTGTGAGATCATGATTCTTGAATTTATGATTCCAAAAAATAATTCCAAATATTTCATAATTCTAGAAAATTCTTGGATAAAGTAGAAATTAGTACTACATGAAAAGATAAAGAGAGAAAAAAAATAATTTATTATGCCTGGTGCATAAATCAAAATTTGAGGAAAGACATGATCTGTCACAGCACAAATTATCTCTAGGCAAAAGTTACAGCCCTGTAATTTTCTTTTCCCTAAAATTATAGTTGTGACAGACTCTTGAAGTTGCTGACTAAACAGTTACAATGTCACTATTGAAATACAGTTTCTTAATAACCATTCTGAAAAATAAAACCTGAAATACTTAGCACCTTAAAATTACTTTTGTGAATCTGAAGCAGCTGCTAAGTGAACTTGTAAAAAAAAGTCATTAGACTACACTACAGTATGAGAAAAATTATGTCAAATGTGGCAAAAGGATTCATCAGGTCTGGCTGAGAACCAGTGACGAAAAGAGAAAATAAGATTGTATTAGCAAATTTGTAAGTGCTGCCAGGAAACAGGAATACAAATCTTTAATCATGAACATCATGTTGACCTGCAGTCAGCTCAAGCTTTCAGACTCCATGTGGAGCACCAAAAAGGTCTGTTGTGGTTTAACCCCAGCTGGCAACTAAACACTACACTACTGCTTGGTCACTCCTGACGGTAGAATAGGGAAGAGAATCAGAAAGGTAAAACTGAAATAACTTGTGGATGAAATAAGAATAATGAAACAAGTTAAATAGTTGAAATAAATTCTAATAATAATATTAGAAATAACAATAGAAATAATAAATTTAAATTAAAATAAAAAAAAGAGAGGGAGAAATAAAACCCCAGAAAAACAAGTTATGTAAATGAAAAACAATTACTCACCACCAATCAACCTATGTCCAGCTGGTTCCTAAATAATGTCCCTTTCAGATTTCCCTTTAGTTTGCATGCTGAGCATGAGACAACACCATATCATATGGAATATCCCTTTTAAGGACTAGCTCATACTGTGTAAATTTCCTTTACATCAGTAGAATTTCATGACTTTAGGAAAGTATAAGGAAACTTCATGGGTTTGCCAAGGCAGCAAATACACAAGTCTTTCCCTTCCTTATTAATTGCTATCAGAATAAATGGAGAAGAAAATAAGACCAAGGAGGTCTATACCAGCAACATTCATATTTCCCTCTGGTTGTCTTTACAGATTATTGAATATTTTCATATTTAGTTAATAGCAAATATTTCTGTTCCTTGAGTCATGTAGAGGCAGTTATGAAAGTTACTATTGGTTATACATTTTCAAGTCTGTATTTTCCTTTTTACTGTGTTATGACCTTGGACAGATTTGTCTGAGACAGGCAGACAGCTCTACTATGATCTATTATACAAAGATTCAGCCAAATAATTTTTTCATTTCCATTATTGGATGCCTACATTCTAGCACATCATTTTATCTTGCAGGACCCTAAATGCACATAAGTCAACATGTCCTACTATATCAAATAAAAATAAATTTTAAATTCTGGATAAAACACATATATATGTTGTTAAGTTTTGCCACTGCATCATTATTTTTGAAACCTGTAAACTATAAACTACTGCCTCATTTTTGTTCATAGAATCATAGACTCATAGAATGGTTTTGGTTGGAAAGGACCTTAAAGATCATCTAGTTCCATTACCCCGTGCCATGGGCAGCGAACCTTCTGCTAGACCAGGTTACTTAGAGCCCCCATCCAGTCTAGTCTTGAACACCTTCAGGGATGGGGAGCCCACAGCCTCTCTGGGAAAACTGTTCCAGTGCCTCACTGCCCTCACAGTAAAGAATTTCTGCCTAATATCTAAACTAAACCTACCCTCCTTCAGGTTAAGGCCATTCTCCCTTTTCCTATCACTATAAGGGCCTTCCCAGCCTTCTTGTAAGCCCCCTTTATGTACTGGAAGGAATCATGCAATCAACATTATCATGTGTCAGGTATATGAAATCACACATTTGTCTTAGGCAAAACAAAAACATTACCAGGTAGAAAACTACAAGAAATTCCAACAGACTAAAATTTGCACTCATGCATTGAACTTTTCAAATAGATAAGAAAAATAATTTCACTTACCTTTGTACTCTAGATGGAATCCAGTAAAACTAACAGATCCATCACTCCGAAAAGCCAGATGCATAGTATTTGAACTGCTTTCTATCCTCTCTGGTAGCTTGCTATCTTGAAAGCTCCCAATTAGTGGGCTATTACTGTCTGGCCCATCATAGATATAGAGAAAGTCATAATTTGGTTCTATACTGAAGCTGGAGAACAAAAGAAAAAGAAAAAAAGAAAGAGAAATGTTAGATAGAATATGCTTTGTTTAAGATTTTCACTCTTATTAGCTTAAATTTGAAGTTTACTATCACCATTTTCATGAAAGGAAAACAAAGTCTCCACTGTCAGAAAAAAAGGTTTGTAGAAGTGTTTTAGTAGAAAACAAAGAAATACCAAAGAAATACCATATTTTTTGTTTCTCTCTTTAGAATTGATTGTTTGCTGCTAACCAGAAAAAAACACCCCGCAACCCAAACCCTTTTAAATAGAAAAAAAATTAATAGTATATTTCTAAAGCTTTAGAAAAAAAAACCAATGTAGACCTATTGGAACTCTTTGCAGTAATGCTTTATGATATAATGCAGTCAGCTGCAGAGTAGAGAATACACAGCTTCTAATCAGACTGAAACACTTTCACACAGTCAGGGGATGATCTTCCCTTAACTCTGAGAGTAGAAAGCATTTTGCCTATAATCAGTTTAAATAAAAAGATGTAGTATTAAAACCTCATCTTTTCTTTTGAAAGAAATTATGGTTAGTTAACTAACGTAATTAGTTAAGTTTGAATTTAATTTTAAGTTCAGGGTGAGAGTTAACCAATTTTACTTATAAGATTGTCCCTGTATAAAAAAAAAAAAATTAAAAAAAGATACTTAGTGAAAGAATGAAAATCTAAACTATGTTGTCTCTAGTCGAAAGTAGCCCCTGATTGAAATAAATGTAGGCATTGAAGACCTTTTTCAATATTTGGGTTATTTCAAAAATATTTCCTTACAAAAGAAATGCAAAAGTTAACACTTTTGATTGTTAAAGTGCCATAGTTTGTCTTGAGTTTAAAAGGATTAGCTGGAGTAAGTTCCACTCAAAAGCCTATTTAACATCACTTAGTAGAGTGTTCAAAGTTTCTCACTCTGAAACTGTCTGTGTGTCATAAATGAAGCAATTCTCAGTAAGGAGGCACTCTTCTTTGACCAAGACTAAGTTTCTCAGCTTCTGTCAAAACCCATAGCAATTGACCAGATTTTAAGATATTTTAATGTAGTAATATTTGAGATTTATAAACTGTTCATATACTATATTTAGTCACACTGTAACATATTATTTTTATTCTAAAATGGGAGTTCTCTTATGTCTAAATGTACAATATAAAGAGTAGAATATTCTTAAATATCTTAAACTCACAATATTTAACCAAATAAAACATGCGCTACTGCACAATAGAAAGTTCCTTAGCAACTTATATTCTGAAATCACCAACAAAATTAAATAATAATTTATGTAAATATAATTGAACAGTTATTTCCCTAGAATGAATTCACTAAAACACATACTATATCACTGAGCACCAAGAACAGAAAACTATATGACCTACCTCACTAAAGAAGTCATCACATTAGCACTGATCAGAACAATAAAGACACTATTATAGAACATCCAGTATAAAAAGAACTTTAATTTGATGAGACATCACAAGTACCATTTTTACCTTTTCTGTGACATATTCCCCAGTTGGAATGCATAGTTTTCATACAAAATAGATATATTAATTTCCATTCTGTGTTACATACAATGCATACAACAAAAGTTCCTCTGTGGAACTATGAAGGTCAATTTAATCTTGCATTGTAATTAAAGAAAACTCTAGAAAAATTCCATCTAATAACCAGAACATCAGGAAGTATCTTGTTGAAGGATCTTGAAATGATACGGACTAATAAAACTAAATTTAAAGACAGCTTTTGAAATTTTGCCTTTATAGCTGGTGTCTCAAACAAAATATGGTGAATCAATAGGTTTCACCATTAAAGACCATCCTGGATCGCAGACAGTTCAGAGTTACTCCATCCATTCTGCCTTCTCAGGAATTGAATCTTATAGATTGAACACCATCCACCTCAACATTAGCCAGTGCAAACAGAGTACTTTTAAGTAAACAGGAGCAATGAGTTCCCAAGCTCCACTGGTCTGTGTACTGAGTACTTTTATGTATTTGTTGTGTCTGTTAACAAAGATAGCAATTACTAATTAGTTTGATAGTCATATTAAGCATACATATACTCTGAACACGACCAATAACAAAGTTATAAACATTACTTTAAAAGTTATGAGTAAGTAGCAGATTACCTGATAAATGCTAATGATATAACGTAATCATTATTTACAGTGATAGTCCAGTCACAATCTCTGCTGTGGGGATAAGGATGAGGGAAGTTTGGTGAAAGTATAAAACCTGATGAGCCAGTCAGGTTTCCTCCACAGGGAGCTGTGAATAAAAATAGATTGAATTTGAGAAAAGAAAGTAAGAAATAAAGAAGCAAGTAACAGCAATCTGTTCACTGACATTTAATATCCTCCAAAAGTTAAATAAAAAACAACTGAAGGATTTACAAAGCTTTAATAGAAACAAAAAAACCCCATATATTCACATTTTGCTTTAGATCAATTGTAATACTACTAAGTGAAACACTTGCTTTTGAACTCTGTGTCACTTTATTTGCTTGTATAATATTATGTCAAGGCTTTTCTGAATATACAGTGAACTTGAAAAATGCTCTGGCTATAGACTTCAAAAACTTGACTGGATAAGCTTTCCACTTTCTACTTATTAAAGGCTATGAAATATGATCTACTTACATCGATAATGGAATTACCTACCTTTTCACCAGACAACACTCACTATTAACTCAGATCCAGATGGATATAATATAAATTAAAAAAAATTAAAATAATTACAGTCTTCAAATTCAGAGATAGATAAAATAGCTTTCAAGTACAATCAGAGTAAAACAACCACATTTGTCTATGTGATTTTGAGGTTCCTAAAAGTTGTGGGGTTTTGGTCCAGAAATATAAATAGTAAAAAGAATGAAAGTATAAATAAATCTTGTTCTTCAGCATTCCTTATGGAAGACTTCATGTGTCAACAAGAGAATGAGCATGTTTTCTAAAGATTTTTTTGAAAGAAATTCTTAAAATTTTATTTAAAAAATTCTAGATAAGATTTATAAAGACTTATCATTTTGCAAACTTTAATTCTACTAAGTGATCACCTGCAGTTCCCAGGTAAGTAATTGATCACTCAGGTTTTCTGTAACCAAGATTCTGTGAGCTCTAAGGTTATTTAAATCATTTATAGAATCATATGATCGAGTCCCACTGTAAACCTAACACTGCCAAGTCCACCACCAAACCATGTCCCTAAGTGACACGTCTACACATCTTTTAAATACTTCCAGGGATGAGGACTCAACCACTTCCCTTATCAGCCTGTTCCAATGGTTGGATCTAGGGAATTGAATTTTGGGAATCTCAAACCATGACAGTAACCCTTTTGGTGAAGCAATTTTTTATACTACCCATCTAAACTTACCCTGGTGCAACTTGAAGCCATTTCCTCTCATCCTGTCATTTGTTACTTGAGAGAAGAAATGAACACCCACCTCACTACAATCACCTTTCAGGTAGTTGTAGAGAGTAAGGTTTTCCCTGAGCTTTCCTTTCTCTAGGCTACACAACTTTAACTTCCTCAGCTGATCTTCATGAGGCTTGACCCTTCACCAGCTTTGCTACCCTTCTCTGGACTCACTCCAGCACCTCAATGTCTTTCTTGTAGTGAGGGCCCCATAACTGAACACAGGATTCAAGATGCAACCTTGTGCAGGCGGACAGTCACTGCCCTCACACTGCTGGTCACACTATTTCTGATATAAACCAGGATGCCATTGGCCTTCTTGGCCACTTGGGCACACTGCAGGCTCATGTTTAGTTGGCTGTCAACCAATGCCCCCAGGTCCTTTTCCACCTGGCAGCTTTCCAGCCCAGCTTCCCCCAGCCTCTGAGACCAGAGTGCAGGATCCAGTACTTCATCTTAATAAATATCATACCATTGGCATGGCCCATTGATCCAGCCTGTCCAGACCCCTCTGCAGTGCCTTCCTACCCTCCAACAGATCAACACACCTGCACAACTTAGTGTTGTCTGTGAACTAACTGAAGGTGTGCTTGATCCCCTCTTCCAGATCATCAATAAAGATGTTAAATAGGACTGGCCCCAGTACTGAGTCCTGAGAAACAACTCTAGTGACTATCAACCAACTGTATGTAAATCCATTCACCATGACTCTGGACCCAGCCATCCAGCCAGTAGTTTACCCAGTGAAGAGTTCACCTGTCCAACCCATGGTCAGTTTCTCCATGAGAATGCTGTAGGAAATGGTATCAAAGTCTTTACTATACTCTGGGTAGTCAACATTCCCTGAACAAGGTCCTTGTCATACAAGAGATCATGTTAGTCGTTCAGGACCTGCCTTTAATAAACCAGTGCTGCTGGTTGTCCTGTATGTGCAGTGTGATGGCACTCAAGATGATGTGTACAGAACAAGATGATATGTACAGCTATTATTCAACCTAGTGGGAAATACACACAATATTTCCTTACGTCATGAGAAATACCACCTTCAGCTCTGGGGCCCCCAGTACAAGAAAGACATTGACCTGTCAGAGCAAGCCCAGAGAAGGGATGATCAGAGGGCTGGAATACCTCACCTATGAAGACAGGCTGAGACAGATGGAATTGTTGTGCCTGGAGAAGAGAAAGCTCCAGGAGACTTTACAGCAGCCTTCCAGTGTCTACAGGGGGCCTACAAGAGAGCTGGACAGAGACTTTTGACAAGGTCATTCAGTGACAGGATAAGGGAGAAGGGTTTTAAATTGAAAGGTGAGTTTAGGAAGAGATTCTTTACTATGAGGGTGGTGAAATATTGGAACACATTGTCCGGAGAAGTTGTGGATGCCCCATCCCTGGAAGTGTTCAAGGTCAAGCTGGATGGGGCTTTGAGTAATCTGGTCTAATGGAAGGTGTCCCTGCCCATGGTAGGAGGGTGGGAACTAGATGGTCCATGCCAAACCATGCTATGATTCTATAAGTTAAATCACAAGTCATTTATGAATTCAAGTACTGCAAGTAGAACACTTTAGCAGATTAATGCATCCACAGTTGCAGTCCATATGAGTGTAATCTTTCTATATTTTACATATGTTTTTATATTAAAAGGGAGTAATGAATAGTGAAACTAACTCAAAACAAAAAAAAATTAGAATCTTCATTTACATTTTTTTATTAAAAGACATATGAATTCCAAAATCATCATTTTGTGTAAAAACAGTGAGAATCTGAAACAACTCCTTGCTCGAAGAACACAAAAATATCATGAATCAATCGTACTAGTAAATGCATAAAATGTATCTTCCAGGCCTAGTACAATTTGTTTTGTTTTTCTTAATAGCTGCCAAATACAATTTTTATCACAATAAATCCCTCAGATATTTTCAGTTGCTAGAGAAAATTTCATTAGCTACGACGTAACAGACTGGAGAAGTTTCACTTAGTATGAAACAGTTTTACAAGAAGGATTATGATTGCAATTCCTCTGTCTTCAAAAAATTAAAATTGGTATTGTTTAGGAACTTCTGTCATTTAATATTCTTTAGTCACAATTCTGAAATAAGTAAAATGAAATTATTACGAAACAATATGCATCCTTTAACTGTAAAAGAGGTCCCTGCAACCTTCTCTCTTGTTGAAGTAAAAGTTCATGCAAAGGAGGAGCTGTGAGGTTGTATGGAATGTAAAAACTGCAGATCAGCTGCAACTACTGTTCTTCAGTATAACCCTTCAAGTACTTTAATAGTTCTGGCTGCACTGTCTGCATATCTCGGGAATGAAAATTTAAAGAGTACCAAAGAGGATATTTAGGTCATTCACTGTAATCAAGCTTCACTGAAATGACCACTAAACTGTATGAGTCTGATGATAATTTTGAGGTATCTTGAACGGATATATGATGATATAAAGAAGTTAAACTGCTTAGTCCTATGTCACACTACTTTCTACCAATGTCGGCATTCATGGTACTTTCCTGATGTCTTGATTTAGTTTAGTTATCTGTTAGTTCATTGATAGAATATTTTCATATTAGTAACTTCTTTTTAATGTACTTATTCTTTCTTTATACACATTAGCAGTTACATTTTCTGTTTACAGTGAGACTGATTCTTTCATTTAAACTGTCCCAAGGTCTAGTTGATAGTCAAAAAGTCTCTCCAGGGAATAAACAAAGTTAGACAGCGAAACCGTATTTTATTTCAAGTTATGCCATAAACAGTAGTAAAAAAAATCCAACCAAACAAAAAAAAAAATCTTCATTTTTATAGAATATCTCTCAGATAGAATTTTCTTTAGATACATCAATTTCAAGTTATTTTAATTTTTATTTCATTAGATACTAAGTTGAAAATGTTAACACCATCTAATGAAAAATGTTATTACATGATACTTCTTTTTCCACTTTACCATCTTCTCCAAAGTTTTTCATAGACATTCTCTTTCTCTGTGTGCTTTAATTAAATTTTTGTGTGCTTCAGAATCCATAATTTTCTGGATTTAATGTGTGGAAAGCTATTATTAAGTGCCATAACCTTATTTTTAACTGAGGAGAGACCAGTTCTGAAAATAAAGAACACCTACCTTTTACAGGTATTGGTCATAAGACATAAGACTGAACAAATACAACAACCCCTTTAGAAAGAGAGGCAAATGTCAATACACTATGAAAAATATAATTTTTATGTGTTATGTAGTGAAAACTAGATGTAGGTTATGTCAACCTCTCTTTATAAACCTCTGTGTAGACAGAGTGGTAAGCAAGCACTGTGCCTGCCTCTCTGTTGATCTTAGCATTTGTTTTATGGGAGGAAGTACAGGTTGGGTTCCTTTTATTTAAAATCTATTTAATTTCTCTAGAAGGCAAGAAAATATTATTCACCAACTTTCTGTCCTTTATTTATTTATTTATTCTTTGAATTACTTCTTAACAAAACAAACAGAATACACGGTTTTTTCTTTTTTTTTTTTTTTTTCTAATAAGAGTTATTAAATAAAGAATCATAGAAAGGTTTGAGTTGGAAAGAACTTTAAACATCATCTAGTCAAAACCCATTGATATGAGTAGGGACGTCTTCAAATAGATCAGGTTGCTGAGAGCTCTGTTCAATCTGATCTTGAATGTTTCCAGTGATGGAATACACGACTCCCTGGGCAACCTGTTTCAGTGCTTCAACTATCCTAACTGTAAAAATTTTCTTCCATATATCTAGTCTGAAGATAAATTTAAATAATCATAATGAAATATGAAATAACTGCTGAAATTTTACTTTATATTAGTGTCATACAGATCACATTTTTAGGAAAGCACCACAGGAATTAACTGTTTACAAGGTCTTTTACTGAGAAAAACAACAGAAACAAGCAAAACCAAGCCACAATTTAAAAAAGAAATATAATTGCCTATGAATTTCTGAAGACTGTCTGAAGTTTCTGGTAGACAGTCTATACCTCCCCTAAATGTATAGTTAACCTGAATCCCAAAATGACCTTTTGCAAGCCACTATTTTTAATATTGTCACTGAGAAAACTAAGCAAACACAATCATTTAAGATTCTGGTATCTAGACAAGATTGGATCCAGAAAATCTTTGGAATGGAAGACATCTAGCCATTTTTTGCACCACAGGTATAAGTCAAAGGACTGTCTTTTGGCAGAGACATGCTCTCAAATTTATAGTTTTTCAGAATATCTTCAGTATAGAAGAGTTTCTAATTATTATCTTTCATTCAAATGCATGAATAGATCTTTGTAATTTTCCCATTGTGACTACCTTTAAAATGAAGATGTTCTTAAAATTGTGTTACAACCAAGACACTCGTACAGGTAGGAATAATAAACAAGTACATTTTAGTTTTGAGCATTAATAATAAGGAGGTTTGAAAAGACACTTTGAAGTGTAAAGAGCTAATAAAGTAAATCTAGAACATGGTACAAGTGTACACCTCAGGAATTATCCCTGCCTCTTATTCTTCCATCAAAATTATGTTTCTTTTTTCCTAAGGCTTTGATAAACCATGATGATATTGAAGTTATGTGTAGAGTAAGTATCGTACAGTTTTGATTTACAGGCGTGGAAAGAACATTAACGAGTACATTACAAGTTTGGGAAAAAAATCAATGAACTTCAAGGTGTACTGAACTACAACACACAATTTTGAAATCTCTTGGCTCTAAGGTAAGATTTGCACACTCCAGTCTATTAGCAGTTCATATTCCCCAACAATGTATCATTATAGGAAATCAATAGAAGATAACTTCATGCTTGATATTTGGGCAAATAAATCATCATAATAACCATTCTTGCTACTCTGTACACAGTAGGTGTTTGTGTATAAAGTGTGGAAATTACCAGCATTAGGTAAATGGATGTGTGCAGTTAAAAAACAAGTGTATGCATATTTACATATGTGGTAAGGACAGAATGTCAGGTGAGCACTTACATTTAATGTATTTAATGATATCATCAACTCAAGAGTGATAGTGATTAAAACTGCAAGTACTTCTTTATAAAAGGGTAATTATTTTTCAGTTGAAAAATGTATTTTAAACCCAGTAATATCAAATAAGGTCAGTATGATAGAATATATTAACTATAAGGCCTCTTCCTAGAGCCCTGGAATTCATTTTACTTTTTCACTTAGACACTTACAGATGTTCAGTTAGTATTATACATACATATTTTCACATATAAGAATTATAAGAGATGAACAATAAAATATTTCTTTACTGAAGTCTTCAAGCAAATAGTCTAGATAGTTCTTTCCTCAAGCCCATACACTCACATTGCATAGGAAAGCATAGTAAGAAGAGTAAGAATAGAGAAAATAACATTTTAACACATTAAATAGAATAGCCAAGACACCAAGTCAGTACTGTAATATGTTTGCAAACACCTGTCTGCATCCATGCCTCAACAGGGGAGGCGGTGTGCATGCATGCATATGAAAATAGAATGTAGATTTTATTTGCAACAGCTAGGGGCAAGTTAAATTTGTTAAAGAGAGTATTTGAAAGCTGAACAGTGCTCCTAGCAGTTGCAATCTCTGGCAAGTTCCTCAATGCAATGTTTGTCCAAGACTAGCAGGAATAATAGTCATTGACATACACCTTCTTGTTTTCTCTGTCACAGATCATCAAAGTATAAATGATACGGTCCTGAGAGGAAAAGGATGAGAACTATTATACTAACAACTACAGAGGAAAGGTTTTGGTTATGTCCATCAGGGCTTTATGTAAAATAATTTCTCAGATGTGCAGTACTTGTATGTTCATCAAAGCAAGTTCCTAGAGCAGTGTGATTCATTACATCAGGATTTCTATTTTTAGGAAAGCATTATTTGATTTTTTTCTTCATACCTATACAGACTGGTGGGTTGGGCTGCCAGAAGTACCGATTTTCTACCTGAATGCAGGTTATTCTCTCATCTCCTTGAAGTTCATAGCCGGGGTCACACTGAAAAATGACAGTGTCTCCAGGTTCTCTTCCATCCCCATTTCTAGTTCCATTCATGGGGACTCCAGGATCACGGCAGGCAGTGGCTACAGAACCTACCAGCAAAAGAAAAAAAAAATAAATTTTTGCAAAAAGTAAACTTTTCAATGCATTTTTGCCCCATAATGTTTTTTTAATCAGGAGGTTCTGCAAATTCAAAATTTTCCTAATCACTTCTAAAATTTTGATAAATCCTCCAAATTGAGAAATCTACTGCTTTTAATTTTTGCTACCTCCTTTAGGTATTAGAAGTGCCTAATTTTTCTTTTAACTATTTTTGTTTAAATTCTGTGGAGCATTGTAATATGTAAAAAGGAAAGTAGGAGATTTCCTAGTACCCTGGACATGTAGCACTTTGAACTTAGTGATTTATAATATGAATAATGGAAAAAAAATAATTGAAAACACAGATTAAGAATTTCAGGTTTTCCAAAGACGTACGTTTGTATACATCTTCAATTTTCCACATATATATATATATGTTATAAATATATGTATGGTGTAACATTTAGGAGTGACCTTGGAAGTAAATTTCATTGATCACTCATATCTATACCCTTGCACATGACCTATCTACAGTGCTAGACCCTTATAATAATATCAAAGAAATCACACAAAAAATACACATGGATTTAGTCTGATAGAATAGACAGCTATATATAATGCATAAATACAGATTATTACTAAGACAACACACAATCACAATGACTACAAGGGAAATATGAGAAATTTATAGATATTATCCCCATACTTAATATATTCTGATCAACATATTATTTACTACATTATGTACCAAAAAATGTAAGTTTAAGTAAAAGGTAAGCACTTCAATGTTTATATAAGTAAATTTTATTTCCTACTTACGTTATAGAACTGAAATATGTATTATAAATAAATACCAAATGTCAGATTTGCCTGTGGAACTAGTGTCATTGAGCTCAACAATCTGTACAACATAAATACAAAGTGGCAGTACTGAGATTTAATTCAGAGGCCCTCTTTCTGGGGAGGTAATACCAGCAGACAGTAATCTATTTTTCCAAAATGTGGGGGGGTTATGTATTTACAATTTTTTTGAAGAGTAAATCTTGGTCTATATAGGTTATTTCTTTAAAAAAACAAAAACACAAGTACCTTTCTTTCCAGAACATGCTTAACACAACATAAAAGAATAAGATCTATAAAGTCATGGGGCTTTTTATGGAGCTGTTTTTCCACATAACAAATACTGATTACAGGGGGAAAAAGTCCCCACAAAAACATCCTCACAAAAAATCAAGTATGAACAGAAGTAAGGGAAATTTTTCCTCCTTAGTCCCCAAACATTAAAGAAATATTTCTTTAAAATGTTAACTACTGGATAATAAATGAAAGATAATGATTTTTTTAAATTGTCATGTAATTTTTTAAAATTTCTGCTTCAGACGCAATGGTTAAATATGCTGCTGAGTTTTAATTTAGAAAAAATATTACTGAAATATGAAATTACTAAATTCATTGCACTATACTAGCAGAATAAGATACTGGATCTAGATTACATTGGAATAAAATGTCATCAAATATGAAAAGGGTCAGATCAGAAGTAAAAGAAAAAAAACCTTGAAATACACTTAGACTGAAGCAAGTAGTAAAACCGGTCATATATTTATCTGCATCCCTCCCTGCTGAGAACACAAGACAAACTGCATTTTTTGATTGGTGTTGGCCAGTCAGAGCAGCCCACATTGGAAAGAAACTGTGTTGTGCCCACTTAGATACTGCCTGCCTTGAATTTTGCCATAAACAAACAAAACACTCCTCTGATTTATCTAAAACATGCTGGTATCAATCCCAGAAGAATGGGGGCTGATACTTACCCAGAATTTGTAATCAGTCTTGGAAGGACAAAGAGATAAAGCTGTTGTTATAAAATTTGTTATTGTCTGTAAATCACACTGTTGTTACTAGATTGCGTTGTTCTGCAAAGAAATTGTGTATGGCTGAAAAAGATGCTAAGGGGGCACACAAACCTATTTAGAATTTCTGATACAATCTGCTTGGGTGTTTTAATCACTTAGTAATATCTATGCAAATTAGCTTATAACCTTTCCCTTATTTGCCATCTTGCATGCTTGCATGCTTGCTCAACCTACTTCTTGCTCTTTTGGCTCTGTAGCCAAATTGGTGAAACATGGACTGGATATGTGATGTATGTAAAGGATGGAAAACAGGCTGATCTGCCAGGTTCAAAGACTGTCCGTAATCCAAACCCTAAGCAGGAGTTGATTAGTAGCAGTGTCCCTCAGGGGTGGATGTTGACTTCAATATTCATTAAAGATGAGGACAATGAGACAGAGTAAACTCTTGGCAAGTTTACAGACACTGGAGGATCAGTTGATATGCTCTAGTGCAGGAATGCTGTTTAGGGAAGTCTCAATAGGCTGGAGAAACTTCATAAAATTCAAAAAAGGAAATGCAGAATCCTGCATCTGAGGCAAATCATTCCCAAGAAACAATTTACTAGAAAGTAGCTTTACAGAAAAGGAATAGAGAAGACAAGAACTCTTCTAGGGAGTGTGTATACAGCAAAAGCACAAACACAGCATTTAGAAGTTGCAACAAGCAAAAATCCAGCTGCATAAAACAAAACACTGGTTCACTGTGAGTGTGGTCAAACATCATGATTTTTGATTGTTGTTTTTCTTTTTTTACAGAGGGGTTGTTTTATGTCCAACCTTAGAGATATTCAAAGTCAAACACAGGCTGATCTGTTTGACTAGAGCATAAGTGGTAGAGTTCTTTGTTATCAAATCAATAAAAAGAATACATCATAATTTATCACAGTAACTGGAAACTGAGAGTATGGAAAAGACTTACGGTCAAATTACCTTGAATAACTAGTGAGGTACGATTTGTAAATGTAATCAATTACATTGCTGTTAAAATACATTTTTGATGGGAAACAGACAAACACCAAAGTTTGTCTATTACCTGGTATACGCAGTACGATCAGTGCAAGAGTAACTCTGTGTGTAGCATAAACCCGTGTGTGATCATATGAGAGCTTTTTTCCTCTAATGAAGGTAGAGAAATACCAAAACCCGTTTTATTTTTTCTTTGGGCACTGCTAGTTTAGAATAATCACACTACAATAAGCCAAACCTTCTGTGCTAGATTAGGAATTCAAAGAAACAATTCTTGATAAAAACTCCAGCATCATGACAGGGATGAGTGGGACTAATTTTCAAACTGTTCAATGGGTGAGAGATTATTGAACATATTAGACACACAGAGCTTGTATGGCTTTCTACATGATCAGAGTGACAGAAAGTGTTTCAGTGTAGTTATTACACACTTCTGAGCTGAATGTGTTCATGAAATATAACTTCAGATTGTGTCTGAGTTTACAACGGGGCATGGTTTTGGAGCAATGAATTGTTTTTATTTGCATCAAACTAAATTGGAAGATCCATTTCTGAACTACAGTAGAACACTTTGAACTATCCGTGAACAGTGTCGCCAGCAGTAGTTCAGTACCTGCTGTTTCAATCTATATATCAGTTCCACTTGGTCTATGTTATTTGCTAACAGAGAAATAACCAAAGGCCCCACAAGTGAGACTTAATATCTCAGATATTCATATAATACATTCTCTAATGCAGACTTTGAATACGAGACCACCAATCATACAGAAAACATGTGAAAATGCTCAGGTAGAAGTAATACTTACTCTGGAGAGTTACTTATCTTATCCCATTCCTGCTATATGACTCAAAGGAAGTGGGGCAGAACCTTGTTTTGAAGTTTCATGGCAGCCAAGCCATGCAAAAAATTCAGCTCCCCTCACCCCCCACAACTTGTTTGGATTTGTCCTAAGAGCATTCATATGAACAGACACATATGTTCTGAGCAGCTGAGAGAAGGGAGTATCTTAAATCATCTTTTTACTTGCTGTACAATACTGTGCAAATGCTCCTACAGAGCCACTGAAGTTGTTAAACCCAGAAAAGGTGTAAACACAGATCTACAGATGTCCTTTATGTGGAATATAAAAACATTTTGACACATCTTTTTAATAATAAGGCACAAAAATACATTTAAACCCTAAATCAGATAATTAAATATTTTAAGTTGATAATTCCTGTCTCAAAAATAAGTTACCGTCAGAGTCAAAAGGTTTCTGATAGTTTATAAGCCCAGGCAATTTAAGATGTGACTGAAATGTCCTAAAAGGACATTTCCACTTTCGTGCAGGAAAGATACTTTGAAACATGGCATTAAAAGTGTGACAAGGTTGTAATAGACTACACCGATGCTGGGATCAATATAATAAATGTCTTGGAATTTCTTGCTGTTAACAGTGATTTCTAAATTAAATGTTCTAATGCACACCAAGTCCAATATCAGTAAGGAGTCCTAATCCCCGCCCTGAAGAATTAGGGAAGATTCTTCTCAACACAGAATCAGGCCAGAAGCTCTAAGCCTTCAAAATTTCAAGCTCTCCATAGCACACAGCATGTTAAAAAAATTATTATTAACTTCTTTAAACCAACATGTTCTTCCAAATTCTTATCACTTTAAATAAAGACTTTCCAGTATTGCTGTTCTTTAAAACTTGCACCAGCCTGAACCAATCCTGACTGATTGCACCTTCAAAATTCGAGCTGCCTCAGAATCCATGTAATACCTTTACCCGTACGGACACTGTAGTCTCCCTGCATCTCTAACGCTGTTTGAGAATCAGGTCAGTTTGGTATTTGCTACCTCAAATCCAACCTTCTATACAAGTTTTCCTGAAAAAGAAATAATAAAATATCTACAGCGTTTTCATTGTCTTCTACCGACAGAAACATTTCTGATAATTTTTTTTATCTATTTTTAACTTTTATTTCTGCTGTAGATCTAACAGGGATTTAGGAGAATAGTTGATATAATTCTTAAGTAAATTCTAACCAGAGACTCTGTTTGTTGATTTTTCATTACTTCATAGATTCTATCTAAGTTTGTCAGTCATTGTTTGAAGATTAAAATGGGAAAATATTAAGAATAAAGTACAGAATCTGTATTTCATTTGGGA